TACTTTTTAGTTTAAAAACAATAGATAAAAACAAGATGTGGTTTTTATAATACTGAATAGTCAGATAATTACAGATAATTTCCATGCAGCTTATACTATACTGGGTCACGAGTGTGCTGGATGATTACTGACGTACAGCGGGGAGATCATAATGGAGTAAAGAGGTTAGGGGAACGTTAGAATAACATTCTGGGAACCAAAAACTAATGTTCTGTGACGTGACATGACATGCGGCCAAGTATGGTGACCCATACTCGGAATTAGTGCTCTGCATTTAACCCATCCAAAGTGCACACACACAGCAGTGAACACACACACACGGAGCAGTGTTGGGTAACGAGTCCGACTCTCTAACCATTAGGCCACGACTTCCCTGGGAACGTTAGATTAACGTTAGAATAACGTTATGGGAACGTTAGAATAACGTTCTGGGAACCAAAAATTAACGTTCTGGGAACGTTAAAAAAACGTTCCTGGCTAACCAAAAACAAACCATAAAAAATAACATTCTGGGAACCAAAAACTAATGTTCTGGGAACCAAAAACTAACGTTCCGGGAACGTTCTGGGAACCAAAAATTGTTAGCTGGGTTTACATTTCTTGGCTAAAAAGTTTTGCACGTGTTAATACAAAGATATTTATTAAAACCAAAACTTGCTTTCGTATGTTGATAAAACAATAAAGACATACAATGAAGTTGTAAACATATTTCCGATTGGTTTTAAATGGCAACATTTCTGCAATTCGGCTATTAAAGTAACTTACTTTTCGCCTCATTAAATTCTCAGTTCATTTTGAAAATACGTATTAACGTTACCTTCTCTTTCTGATTATCTTCTCTTTTCGGCTTGCGAATCGGTCATGTCCGAACAATTTTTTTCCCCGGACCTAAACGAATCTTTAAATTCCGTTTGTGAACCGGTTCAACTGCATAAAGAGATCCGTTTCAAAAGAACGATTCGTTCACGAATCGAGCTTCAATAAATCCAGCCCTCTTGTGGTAAATTTTGTCCCTGTCTCAAATTGCACCCTAAACCCTCGCGGTCTTCAAGAGGTCTTCCTCTGAGTCCACACTTTCGTGATGTAAAGCCGCTTTGACTATCGGGCTCGGCAGAAGTGTGCATCGATGGCGCATAGCGGCCGCAAAGGGGGCACTTGCGAGCACCCTTCTGAAAGCTAAAATGACGAATGGGACACCCTACGGCACGGCTATTCAATTAATTTAATTTGAGGGCCGGATTATTGAACTGAAAATTAAAGGGGGCCAAGGGGGTGGGGGCCGTCCCAATCTCTTTCTGGGGGCCTATAAAATTAGAAATTAAATTTAAATGCATATTCAGCAGTAAAATCAACTAATTTTACCAACACCAACATCTATAAAAAAAAACATTAGTGCGGTCTGTCAGTCGATTAAAAAAAAGTAGCTAATTAATCGCACATTTTTCTGTAATTCATCATGATTAATTGCATATTAATATATTGTCATAATTTCTCATTGATCCTCCAAATTAATGTAGAAACAACATAAAGGTGGTATATTTTAAAGATCCCAGATAGCACACCTATAAAGATGTCTGTTAATTTAATTTGAGGGCCGGATTATTGAACTGAAAATTAAAGGGGGCCAAGGGGGTGGGGGCCGTCCCAATCTCTTTCTGGGGGCCTATAAAATTAGAAATTAAATTTAAATGCATATTCAGCAGTAAAATCAACTAATTTTACCAACACCAACATCTATAAAAAAAAAACATTAGTGCGGTCTGTCAGTCGATTAAAAAAAAGTAGCTAATTAATCGCATTTTTCTGTAATTCATCATGATTAATTGCATATTAATATATTGTCATAATTTCACATTGATCCTCCAAATTAATGTAGAAACAACATAAAGGTGGTATATTTTAAAGATCCCAGGTAGCACACCTATAAAGATGTCTGTTAAAGATCGCTTCATCTGGAAAGCATCTGCTGTGTACAAATATCTGATAGACGTCTTTTAGATGTCAGTTTTACATACATTCTAAATCATAAACATCTTAAACACATTTTCTAAACGTCTATTTGACATAGAATAGGAAACGTCCTATACATGTATTGCAGATGAGCAAACACTCTAAAAATATGTCTTACAGATGTAAATGCAAATGTTAAATAGACATCTCTATGATGCAATAAAAATAACTACATGCTATTCTTGTCATGAGCATCAAGGTGTGGGGGCGCTGCGGTGCAAATTCCACTCATGTTTTAGTACATGTTAACTCAAAGTTTCGTAGAAAAAATATAAACGTTGGATTCTGTGGTCGATTCTGTGTTTGTTATTCGCAGTTATGTGTTGTGGCTGGGTTGTTATAGGTCTGCGTGACTCTCGATGTCTTAGGCCTAATTGAACGGAGGAATTATGGTATTCTTCTGTAGCCTGACGACGGGTAACTTTAACCGTTGTTCATGTGAACTCAGACAGCCTGATGCTTTGTTTATAGACTATTTGTGGGTGGCTGTTTGTTGTTTCACCTATCAATTTGTGTCGATAATAGGGTAAATCCTGTATAGTGATTTATCCTATATAGTGCTTGCATAAAGCAAGTAGTGCATACACTTGTAGCTGTTATGTATCTTTGTAAGTCATTGTAAGCCCTCTTTGTAAGACATTATTTTTAACATTTCTCTGAAAAATATAGGCTCTGAAAAAATATAACTTTTAATTTAAGTGAACGTAAAGCAATCTTCACATAAACTATAAATTGTATTTTATAGTTTTGGCATAATTGTGTGTGTTTTTGTCCGTTGAAGTGCTGCTGCGCTGTCTGAAGCGGCTCAGCGTGTGCGTATAGGCCTACAGCAGAACGCGCAACCTTCTAAACTATACTCCATTTGATAATCATCTTCGTCCAGTGTCTGCGCTATTTCTCGCCTAGAGTTGTGGATATCTCTTAATCTCTTTAACTCCCTCACACAAGCGCTTGTCAACGCTGTCGTCTATTGATGTTGCGGACTCCGGTAGGTTGCTGTTGTTGCGTCTCTTCCTTTTCTTTTCTGGCTGTGAAACAACAGCCTGGGCCAGTGTTGCCACCTTGTGGACAAACTAATTAGTGCAAAAACAATTCAAGGCGTATGTGCGACCTGCGCGTACTCTTCTCTAGGGCCGAATGAAGATGATTGGCGGGCCGCCAGTTGAATAGCCCTGCCCTGGCCTATGGTCTCGTGGACTTAACGGGACCCCACGGCCCATATTAAATCTTGGACAGGTATGAGATAATTGGACTGAACTATTACAACAATTATAAAGAGTTTGCATTGCTTTTTGAAAAAGAAAAAAAAAAACGACTAAAGCATAAGTAATCAATAACTGTATCAAACGCTTTAGCAGCTCAGTGAACCGGGTAGATCTGTGGACTGTATATCATCCTGTCAAAGAATGACTAAACCTTGAGCCAATAGCCTTCGATTATGAGATGTGACGGAGCATGTGATTTGTTGAATGTAGTGAA